CAACAAAATAATAACTAAACAAAAGGAAAAAAAAAGTCGTATAAGTTACTTTACTCTAATTCTGCCTAAATGATTTCAAGTTCTGCCGCATACTGAGGATTCCTTGTTGTTCAGTTATTGGCATGGCCAGGTGGTTAGGGCACTCGACTCGGAATCTGCGGGTCGTGGGTTCGAATCCCCGTCACACCAAACATGCTCACCCTTTCAGCCGTGGGGGGCGTTATAATATTATGGTCAATCCCATTATTCGTTTGTAAAATAGTAGCCCAAGAGTTGGCTAGCTGCCTTCCCTCTAGTCCTACACTGCTAAATTAGGGACGGCTAACGCAGATAGCCCTCGTGCGCGAAATTCAAAAAAACAAACAAACTGTTATTGCCAATGATCTATTACATATACCTTATTTGTTTTTAGAGCAAAGCCACATTGGGCTATCTGCCGTATTCATCATGGGGAATCGAACCCCGGATTTTAGCTTTGTAAGTTCACCGCTGTCTCACCAGGAGACTATAGATACCTAGTAGAAAGCTACTTTGTGTAAATTACCAATCTGTTTACCAGTGGGTCAGCGGTAATTTTATGGACCTACAATGCTAAAATCTGGAGTTTGATTTCCCCGTGGTGGACAGAGCGCATATAATCTGTTGTGTAGCTTTATGGAGAAACAAAACTTTCGTCCTCTAGTGACAGAGAAAAGGGCTAGAACTTCTTTTGAATCTGATTCTTAGCAAGGAAATTGGATACATAAACTTATAACAGTTAGAAACGTGTGTAATTATTATATTATCAAACGAAGAGCCTTAGATTATATAAACAGTCGAAAAAAATCTTGTACAAAATTGCCGAAAGTTTTGATTTTCAAGACAACTATCTTTCTTTCCTACAGAGTTAAAGGCTTATTATACGTTTATTTTATTTTGAATAGTAGCAAAAAGCTACACAAGGGCTATCTGCGCAAGCCGTCCCTAATTTTAAACTGATAGACGAGAGGGAAGGTAGCTAGTCAACAGAACTCACCGTCAACTCTTGGACTTAGTGGAATTTGATCCTCACTCTTATTCCATACTCATGGTTTCAAAGTCATGCCAGGTCAAAATTGTTGTCAGCCCAAAAGTCTTGTCTGTGCCATGATCGAACTCAAAGAAGTTTTAATGAACTTGGATTTGGAAAAGCTACGTTTTTTGGCCATAAAACAAACAAAAAAACGGCGATGGCCAGAATCATTAGAGTTGTCAACAGACATGTTGCGAAATGTGTTGTAGCAATACTTCCCAACATTGAGTTGAAGCAGAAAAGTAGACATATGAATCAAGTTTAAGGGCGTCAATGATCCACTGCAATAGTTGACTGCATTGTTTAGCACAAATTCAGAGTGTGTGCATTGCACAGTAGAAACAAATCATTTAAATTTACGTTTGTGGCTACATTATCTCTGGCCGTATGTCTCGCAGGAGTAGCTCCACTTCCCCAAACTTGTTCATACCGGTATCATTTGTGTCTTTCATTGACAAAAAATCCGAAGAAAAGCTCTTTGATACTTGCCTCACCATTTTTATGCACAAACACCTTAGTAGCCGTAAGAAATTGGGTGATCTGTGTCATCTGGTTAGTAACCGTAAGAAAATTGGGTGATCAGTGTCATCGGGTTAGTAACCGTAAGAAATTGGGTGATCTGTGTCATCTGGTTAGTAACCGTAAGAAATTGGGTGATCTGTGTCATCTGACAAACTTTTGCACTCCTTTTTTGACAAAGTAAAAGGTCCTTTTTGAAAAAAATAATTATATCGCTAAAATTCAGGGCTCAAGCCCTGCAGTGTACAGCACAGATAGCCCATTTTGCAGCTTTGTGTTTGATAAGGGAGAGAAGCTTTCTCTTTACGATATTGAGCACCAGAAAGATGGTGCCTTCAATCAGACACGTTTTCTTAAGTTCACTCTTTAACCATTTTATATTATTAAGGTTTTAGTTGTCACATTTTATCTATCTCTCACTTTTTAAACACTTTTACAAATTTAGTAATAAGTTCATCAGAATATTCTAATTTGAGAGCTTCCTTAAAAAAAAAGAGAAAGCCTGTCGAAACTTGCTTATATATCTCAGTTTTCTTCATTGCTTGTTAGAAATGTGTGACATATGTTCAATCTATTCACTTCTTAAACGAAACGAAATGTGTACACTATAACGAGGGAACTGAACGTTTCGCCCCCGCTTTGCCATTGAATACTCGCAACAGAAGTGCTTAATATTACAAACATAGTGATCTTGACAAATACAATTTTTATTTTATTTTGTTACCCTAAGTGGTTCCCCGCTTTGCCTGTTGTATATTTATCGTTAATAACTAAGTGGTTACTGAGTGCAAAATATCCCAATAAAACCATTTTCTCGATAAGTTAGATATAATATTTTAATGTAATCAATTAGTAGTATCGGTAGAAACAAACTATCATTTTTTTTTTTAGCGAGTTACGACTCAAATGTAAGCCAAACATTTATAACTTACAGTAGGGGCGGCAGGAGGACTAGCGGACGGTGGTTGCTCAACATCAGCCGTAATTTCATATGCACTGGCTGAAGAATTTGATTTGTTTATTTTGTTCTGCTGTTTATTGTTGTCAGATGGTACGCTGTCCTTCTTCTCTTCAATGTCAGGATTCATTTGTTTTATATCATTTACTGAGTTTCCAGACGTCAAAGTTAAGGAAGTCACGTTGTTTTCGATCTAGAACAAACAAATTTATAAAATGAAGTAAATTTCAGTAAAGCTCATCTTGTGATGATTTTTTATTCCCAGACTGTAAAATTATAAACAGTTGAGTACGATATATTAAAAATATTTTGAATATGCAAATCAGCAAGTCACGTGACCACCAGAGCCGATATAAATTCGTGGTGGAACGGTATATATATATATCATAACTACATTTTGTCATTGTTTGTCGTTTTCAGCTAGTATGATGTCACCGAAAATTGATTGCTATCGGGAAGAGTAAGTAACAGCCTTTTCCAACGCAAAATATTCATGCGCTTAGTTCATTAAGATGCACTCAGATCGGAATTTTTGAATTACCAAGACATAAATATCCCTTTTTCTTAATGGCACTGAAAAACAAAGAAATAAGAACCAATTTCGGGCACCAAGACCATTCAGAAAAATACCTCCAACATATTATACCTTAACCCTGGTAAGAAAAGTGCGGCGTCTTTCGAAAGCTGAGAATCCACAAACACAAAGATCATTGGTAAAAGTCGTCCACGTTCCTCAGGCAACATTACGCAGCACAACTAGAAATAATCTGTCTGCAAAAGAGACACAAGTAACGAGCGCACAAATGACTTCCATGACATATAATTTCAACCGTTGCAAACCTTAAGCAAACTGGCATGCTGGAGAATGAAACAGATATTCATGATATTTTATAGGCATACATTCACCTCATAATTTTCTGTCATAAATACCTCAGTAGCAGAGGCAAACCTTCAGATATACCCATTCTATGCATTTCTTGAAAAATCTAAAAACGAGAAATGCTTACAACTAAACGTCGCCCTTGTATACTAGTTGGCTCATGGAAAGCTAACAAGAGAAAGTACCGTGCTTTGACCATGACAGCCTTACGACGGAGTTTTTTGCAATAGAAAATTTGCTGTAAGTTATTGTCAAGATATTCAGTGGTCAGTTAGAGCATGGCCGAAAATAGCGACACAAAGTATAACAGCGGAATGAGGCTCCTAAATCGCTTTTAATATAACGTTCTCAACCTCTGTATTGTCAGTAAGATTTTCAAACTTCGTTGTTAGAAAATTTATTTAAAATAAAATAAAAGCATAAATATATCTAACAATCTTGCAAAAATAATGTTTTTTCAAATTTGTAGTAATTCGAAAATTCAATGAAGTATGTATAAATGATGTAACTACTTAAAAAAATAACGAAAAAAACTTTAATATATCTTAATTCACATAAGTAATAGCAAATTAAATTTAACAAATGTCATAGGATCTATTGTGACAAAAAAAAGTATTTATAAAGCTACCAAGTAACTTGATAGATTTTTTTTATAATATCTCCCAACATTTTCACTTTTTAAAATTTCACTTATGTCGTCAATGAAATTTTTGGTATGAAATTTAAATATAATTTCTTTGAATATCCACGCAATTATGTATACATATTAATTACCTTCTTTCTGGTTGAAACATGCTATCAAATAAAGTATTATTTGATTAATAGGAAATTTCACCTTGCTAGTCTGGACGGCATCAGTTTGAAATGTTTCATTCTCATTATTTCCACCAGATGGCGAAATTTGGGTTTCTGGAGTGGTTGCATGATTGTGGATATCTGCCGAAGCATTTGCAAAGGAAACAGACTGGACTCCATTGCATATACAGTTAGCAGAAGTTTTGCAAGTTGAACACGAAGAAGAAGTTAAGCACTGTTTCCCGGTAGGTGATGTTGCATGCGCGATGATAGCGCCATTTTGTAATTCACTGTTGTTTGTTCTGGTAGCATCGAGGAGAACGCGGAGAGAAGCAATTGCGTGAAGTTGGGAAGCCTTTTCATCTAATTTTCCTATAGAAATACAAAACATTATGTTACAAAGACTGCACATTTTTCTGTTACTTTACGATATTGTTGTGAGCAGATCGGAAGAGCTGACATATGTCGCTCTGTTTGAGCTTTCTACATACGTTAATTTTCTAAAACCACCTGGCCATGCCGGGCCAAAGTTTTAGAAGGAGGTATAACGTATTTACAAATCTAAAGTAAAATATATAGGAATTTTTTCTTGTTCAACTAAGACTTCAGTGTTTAAAAGAGAGAAGAGCAGATAATAATGTTTTTCTCTTTTAAAAATGTTTTATTCTAGTGTTTTGTATCAGTGTGGTTTGTACCATTAATTTAGTATGGGAATTCGAACCCGGAGCGCCCTAACCGCCTGGCCATGGGTACTTATACCATCGTGGAGGAACCATTCCAGCTTCACTGGCCCCCATTGTAGTCCAAAATTAGAGAAACTGATAAAACTGATATGATATTAACAATGTATATTTCCATTGAATTATATAAATACAACCAAATGTTCACTTATCAACCTACGTCAATGAAGTTGTCGAAAATAAGGGAAACAGATAATAAATACAATTTTGCAAAAATTAAGTATGATGTTCCCTTGGCTGTGGTTTCGATAGATAGTAGATAGGGACAGTGGGAATCTCGTTAATCCAAGTAGGCAGTAAGTACTGAGTCAATTTTACAAGCTTATGGTTATTAACAACTATAAGACTGTATAAAATTGTTCAGTTTAAATGCTTTTATCAAATCTAAATTCATGCAATTTACAGGAATTCAATGCTTAGTTATAGATAAAAGTTATCCTTGGAAAGATTTGGCTACTTATATAGTGATTTTTGTATGGTTTTGCTTATTTATCCCTACCTTGTTTCTGTAATTTTTGCCATTGCTATCCCTACATCATACTTAATTTTTGCAATTTTTTATTACTTGTGGCATACTGTTGGCTGATCATAACTTAATGATATGCAGTTATGAGAGGAACATCAAGAAACTACACGCTAAGGGATGTAATTATGCATGTAAACAATTTAATTTGTTTTAGAAATGTTGAAATTATGAATATTAAGCTGTAAGCGTGGAGTTTTATACTTAATGTAGAATCTTTTGGTCAGAATTTCATCAACAGATAGTTCAATCTATGGACTAACTGTCAGACAGTGAACATTTAAGAATAAATTTATGGAATATCTATGTCAAAGTCATAGACAGTTTTGGTGGTACTAGTATATTAATATATATATTTTCCGATTATTTGAATAAAAAAGTCCAGCTTCTGTTGCTCTGGTGACTTAGTTATACAATATGGATTTGGAAGAGCCTGTGCTCACAATGCTCCATATTTGTTGAAGATACAAATCTCTTAACCCAGTTCGATGCTATAGCTTCGAATAAATTGAAACAGATATAATAACTAGTTAATATAAATGTTTTATAAATTTAAGTAAAACTTTCTTTATTTATAAGTGCAAAGCTACACAATGGGTTATCTATGTTCTGCTAACTGCGAGTATCGAAACCAAGTTTCTAGCGTTATAAGTTCTCAGACCGCTGAGCCATCATCGAGGAAGAGGGTTGGAATTAAGCAAAAGAAAAATATATGTTGTCTATTGTAACTTTTGTAGGCTACCGATAAAACTCTTGTTAACAGTTTCCACTTACTTTATTTCACTGGTTCTCAACTGGAAGTATATGTAATCCCAGAGGTACGCGACTTAGAGTAGTAAAGGAAAAAAATAATTAATTAAAATAAATAAAATTAATAAAAGCAAAATATCGTGTTGGTAAAAGAAAGTATAGATGGCGACACTGCTAATCTGTGATGGAATGGCTTCAGATGTTTGTTTTTGTTATTGCAGTGTCAACGTGCCTGCCACCACTGCGATTCATTTTGAATTTTAAAAAGTTCGTAATTAAAATAAAACTTCAAGACAACCGTGTTCGGATGAAAATAGGCGTCTAACTTGGGAAGTAGAAGTAGCACGTGAATATCTTTTAGGAAAAACTTTTTCGCCTTGCTTCGTTCGTCATTTCTTCCTTGCACCCTACCCCCAAACATTTTAAAACAAAAGCGCTCATGGAGTGAGTACACGCCACGTGACGGTATCAGCATTGTTAGGTTTGCTACACGGGTGAGTTTCAGTCTGTCGTACTTAGTACAAACACTATTTACGAAGGAAAAATCCAGGCGATATTCCGTTTGAAGTAAAGTACTGGAATGGAAGAGGGTCTGTTTAAGGTTACTTCAGACAAAAAGGTTGGGAACTACTGCTCTATTGCACAATAATTTAAAACTTTTGGTTAAGCTAAATCGTCACCTAAAGGGCTACAGAAAAACAATGGGTCACACAAACTTGAAATGCGACTTTTTATCTTGCTGTAGGCGACTGCTAGCTAAAATAAATAAAAAGTAAAAAAAATAACTAAAATATAAGTATTAGTTTTTGTTATATTAATAACGTGACTTTCTGGTGAATTATTACTGATTCAAGATAATATTGTTGCGTCATCGAGATCACGTGACTATTCTCACGCCCTCTATTTTCTAGAACTATCCCGTACTTTGGCG